ATGGAATACTTACATACTTTGGTAGGATAATATTGTTATGAAATTGTTATCTTATTTTTAATCATTATTTTGTAAGTAGGCCTTTATTCCTAAGCGAAAAACGTCAGCCCCATTATAGGATACAATATTCACTACATACTACAATGAAGAAGCTAGTAATCAAGTAATACTTGATTATGATTGATTACTTGATGAAGAAGTTAAACTTTTTACAGGTTTAACTTGCCCTTAACTCGTTGAGTACCATCATTATAGACACAATTAAAGAACAATAGGTTGCGGTCACCGGTGACCGCTTGGTGTTTGACAGTTTAAACATAAAATAATTAAATGATACAAATTTCTACCCTCCGATGATAATGGTGGTGCTAAAGCACTGTGGTAAAAACAAATATTAAGAGTTCTTATAACTAAAGACCTGATGCTCCTGAGACTCAATACATCGAAACTCATACAAAATGTGTTGCACATCCTCTACAACACCACACAGCACAATTGGGTGGTTCGACTTTGTACGAATGTATTGATGTCTTTCTGAAATTAATGAACAGTTATACTATTTGTAGATTTTTAATGTACTATTAAGAAAATATGATTACTAGGTACTATTTAAATTATTGAACTATAAAATCTGTCTCAATGCCAGCTCTTTAATATTATTGCCTAGAAATTTTTACCAAGATGTAACACATTAAAATATCTACCTAATCTTTTAGAAAATAAATCACATATTACCTACTTCTACACATCTGTAACATCATAAATGCATTTCCTTGAAGCATCTACAGTTCTATACAAGTAGATTATCACACTGCATTCATGTTAACATCTCAACAATAGTCTCCGAGCCGCTATTCATATGAAAATTGAATGATCATTTCTGTATAGAAATTGATGAATGTACAATAGGTTTAAACTGCGCACTTCTAAGAGATTATAATTTTAATGTAATCTTCTTACTTCCAGTAAACACTTGAAGTTTTTGCATTCAAATAGATGTTTTTGTTACCTAATGAACTATGTGCAGTTTACAAGGTCATAGGTATATATTATGGTCATTGCTGATACTTTATTTGGGTGAAGGATGAAGAGTCTTTTCCTTGTCAGATAGATATGAAACTGCTATTGAAAATAGTCCTTAAAAATCCTATTGATACCTATTAATAACCAAGGTCCATAAGTAGAAGAATTTCAACTTCTTTTCACACTGAAATAGAATGAAAAATTCATTGGGTGATTCGCAAAGCTTGACATACAGGTATACATTTTTAGATACAGACAATCCTATCGTATGACACATCTCTTCTTTACGAGGCTAATTAGTGATGCCCTAAATAAATGATTATTTAAGGCCAAGAGCATTCCTACAAACATTTTTGTCCGCAATGTTTATACAATTTTAGATACTTAAATACTTGGCAGTGTTGTACTGCTGAATGACAAACATTTTCTCTAAATAATACCTGACTGAATGCAGAAAGGATCCCTCGCATTTGCAAAAAAATATATAATAGTACCTACTTACCTAATTGGATTTTTGTAATGATCATAAGTTATACTGCATCCTGCAAGTATTTATTGATCTTGTTTTTGCTCCAAAATACATATTTGTATGCCAAACATAATATCATAAACTAACGTAAGAAAATGTGCACATCAATCTTCGTCATTAAACTTGCAAAAAACCGAGAGTATTTGAATTGGTTCTCGCGCAAAAAGTATAAAATATGCGGATGCATTCTGAACCTTATTGCGCAGTGATAGCGCATTGAATGTTTATCAATGATATGTAAATAGCTCTGCTTTGTATGTAGGTGTTGCGTGAGGATTTGGCATCTCCCGAAGCTTTACCAGTGCGTGTGACGCGAGCGAGGGAGCAAGCGCGTTCCGGTACCCTCCCCTAAAATATTTCCATATAATTCCGTTGTGATTTGAAAATTTTACCATCTGTACATACACATTATTGTGATTTTCCGTGTGTACTTGCAATGTTTACGTTGGCAGATCTGTGGAATTCCATCGCTTTTGTATGTATGTCGACGTCGCTGTTTTTATTGATAATACTTCAGCTAGAATTCATTAGCTGTTGTTATTTTTAACTGATTAACAATTCAGGTTTTTGTATCTGTCCTTGCTTAAAATGGTTTTCTAATCGCAAACTAAATTCCAATTGAAATTTCTGTTAAAACGCCGATGCCGGTAACCTTCCTTTGCATTTATTCTTAAAAAGATTTTCTTTTTTTATTGAAGCTTACTACTTAGTTAATTAGCACCTACTTAGTTAATTGTGTAAGATGAATACGATCAACTTGACGAAGCTCTTGAATATGAATCCTGCGGGGGACACACGACACCCCGGTACGGTCGCTACATTGGAATCCAATCAATCCAAGTCGACCCTACTCCAACGGGATCGCCTCCACTGATTTCTTCCATCTTTCACCTGTCCATAGTCCATTCATGACGAACGTGCAGACATTTCTCCACATCGTGTAACTGTGCCACTCATGCGCTTATTATGATAATCTTATGGAATAACTAATACGAATTTTCTCGTATATCTAACTGGAGAGTATTTCTGTTATCTGTTTCCATGACGCAACTTTCACTATCGTGTGAGTGCGCTATAATTGTAGATAGATCTGTTTTATATTAACACAATTAAGTATCGGTTCGACCTTCATCAGTGGTTGCGTCAGTAACCTCAAAAACTTGACATGTTTAGCGGGAACGTTCATTAACATGTTGTACGTACATATTCATTTTGTTATTCTGGATATCATGTTCCAGTTGGCTGGTTTTCAAAGATTATGTCCATAAATCCGCTTGTAGGAACTAGATTGGACATAACGAAGTTGGAAGTTTCCGAAATATTCTCCTAAAAATGAATATTGAGCTAGTTTTGATCTAGTTTGGAAGCATAGAGCGGGGGAACCGCTCTCCCTAATAACCGACGCGATAAATATTGTTATTGTCATCGTAAACAAAAACATAGGCACATGTCCAAGATTGAAATGTCTCAAATATTGAACTGTGCTAAACGATGTCTAGTTCATACAATACTACGGACACGTTCCACGTTCTGCTATATTTAATTTTGTATCCTCGTTAATTCGTGCAAGTTCACGCGTTATTACGTAGGCACATATTAAAATATATTCAATTATGTAATCATTGTTTACATGAAAAGTATACGATGCCTCAAAAATTGGCGAATGCTTAATTTATTTATGTCGGTGAAGACTGAAATAAATTGTAAATCTTCAGGATTTTGATTAAGATCGTACTCGTGTTTCTCGCAGAAATATTTACGGTGTTCCACACGCGTTTACAATCGAGCTAATGAATTGTCCATTACTGTTAACAGGGCGTCATGTTGTGTGTGGCCTTGATACGTCACGGTAGCCAATAACAAACAGCCCGGGAAATGTGCTACCAGCCAGCAACTGACGTTTTAAGCCGCCTGTCATTCTGAAGCCTTCCCGCCACACCAGGGCCTATTCAACGTCGCCGTGTCGAATAAATTACAAATAAATATTCTACTTCGTTACAAAATTATGCTTTATTTTGTAATTTTATCGCAAATGTAAATTTTATTGTTATTCACAGTGTGTTCATACTGTAATAATAGATAGGAAAATGAAAGGCCTTATCTTATTCGCGTTCATCTATGTACTTGAAACAAGTTATCTATACGAAAGGCAGATACCTATGTAAATATTATATTATCATAGTAAACATACCTTGTTTATGTTTTCCATAGTGTGAGATGTGTTTTATATATATTTTTTAGTAGGAATAAAAACGACGATCGATAATTTTGATAATTACCAAATAACTGATTCTGTCAACTGAAGACTGGACTCTAATGTGGTTATAATAGTCGTCATAATCCATTGTCGTGCCCAGTGTGTGAAGGAATATTCCATAATGACATTACATTCTAGTATAAACTTGTTCAATTAACACAAGTTCAGTCTGTTTACTTTATCCGGATTTACATGAAAATCCGAGATTGACTATTTATAGGAGCATCGCATCTTTGTTTGCTTTCTCTATTTCATGTGGGCGCTACACTGACGTTCATTGCGTTTGCGCAGGTCATCTGGTTTATTTAAAGTTGAAGATTTTTAGCTCATATCGTTATACGGATGTTGTAATTTGTATCTTTCTGGAAGAAATTTAGAAAGAGAGAGAGAGAGAGTGTGTTAAAATTCTGGGAATTTTGGCTGTTGGTCTGATTTTTGGTGTTTGAACTGATATTTTTGGAGTCTCTATCTGTATTTGGCTATTTTTTGTTATATGGCTTGATTAACGGTTAACACACACAATAGTTTTCATTTTGTTACCAAAATAGTCTCAAAAATTGGCACTATTCCGTTAATTTTCAGACTCTGATGTAAGTTTTTATAGTTCGGAGAAATATCGAATTGAGGTTTAATGATTTAGGAGGTCTCCGATAGGTGTTAGATTATACATATTACAGAAGTCTAATATCTATAATTTTTTGAAGTTTGAAGTTGTTATGTTGATGTATTGCCGTCTGTGCCTTCATAAACCTTTATTTCATTGACTTTAGAGCAGAAACAGCAATGATGATGTCACGTATCTTGTCTCATCTCTTGGAAGAGCGTCCCCTTTGAAATATTGCAACGTTAATTCCCCCTATTACCAATTTAGATTCGGTCTTCGGCATTGATGGCTAAGGAACACCTCAAGTTTTAACAATAATCGTATTAGTTACGATTATTGTAACACAAAAGTTGTGAGTAGTTGGTATATTTTATTACAGTTTATATAGCCATTTATTATGCTTCAAATATAACCATTGGCAACGCGAGCCAAAGAAAATTACGACTCTTGAAGCACATTTCTGGAGTCTGAAGAAAACTGTTACCTACTTACGCAAAAACGCATTTGTGACTCCTCTGGTGATGCGGGTGTCCATGAGCGGCGCTAATCGCTTACCATCAGGTGATGCGTCTGCTCGTTTGTCTCCTTTTCCATAAATAAAAAATAATTCTGCAATTATCACTCCCATGTGGATTGGATCAATTGAAAAAGGCGTATCTATTATTAATATTAACTAGTTATTATTAAACAACCAACCATTCGCTAACAAAAATGCAACCAGGTCGTCGGTTTAAAAGATAATGTAACATAGGTTGCGCCAATTTGCCGTTTAATTGTAGGAAATCGCTTGTAATTCGACAATACACAATAGTATTTAGAAATCTGATTCCTGTGCGATTAGTTTCGCGACGTGAACGCTTCTGTGTACACGCTTACACGAAATTTACGAGTGTGTCTAAATGATTGTGCTACCGTATATTACCTTGTGTTTAATCCCCTGTTATATTTTCAAGTCTACAATAAACAGGACGATTTAATTGCACGTTAATACCCCAATATAATTTTAGCACACCGCAGTGATGTCACATAATTTACTAATAACAGATAAGGCCAGCAAAATGTTTAAAGAATTTAAACGAAGTGGGCTACAGAGTTAATTTATGCAGTAGATTGCGCACTCTGGATCGAGTTACTGCCACCGGATCGTCTCACTAACGAGGTTTGGTGTCTTGACGCTTTTCCAGAAAACTCTTTACCTTGTAAACTTTTTAATCTGCTCGTTGATATTGATTCTTATTTCTTAGTGAATTTACAAACATTACCGATACGGTTCTCAATTGTACGCCATCCACGAATGGTTTCTGCCGAACCGGTGCAATACTTTCCATATTTAATTCGTGTTTTTCTGTTCTCTTCCTTGTGTGTTGACATATCGACGTTCGGATATGACTCACATATGGTAAACTTGCAGAGAAAGTTCGTGTTTTGACCAAAGCAAGAAAAGTGATAGGTTCGCCGGTTCTCGCAAAATACGAACTACTGCGCACTGCAGTGAAACTTTTTATGTGGCATGATAGTAAAAGTTTATTGTTCTTCGAATCACAAAGCGGATTCATTGTGCTTTAGCTCGTCTGTGTGCTTTCATGTTTGTACAGCTTCGTTTGACGGGAAAATTAACGTTTCAGAATTTTATCTTTAACACACAATATTGTAACCGATAGCTACAGTTCAGTGCGTACTCGTTAAACCAGTGATAACGGGAATGATTCGGTTCGAGTGTGTGTGATAGTGTTGGATAAAGTGCAAAATGTTGGTGTCTCCTATATCGTCAGCCAACCTGACCAGCCACTCTCTTTCCTCGATGTTTCGGAGGCGCCGAAACCGCTCACCCGTCACGGTAAGCTTTGATGTCCAAAAATATACGGAGTTGCCAAAATATTCTCATATAAATATGCTAAGTAGCGCACCTTTTACGCTCCTTATGAATAGTCAATATGAAAATCAACATTAACGTGACAAAATCAAGTTCAAGTGCAAAGAACAATTGACACTGTATTGATAATTGGGAGTTTTGGGACTACATATTTAAGTATAGTAATGATGTTAATAACGTTGGAAATTAGGAAGAGATATAAATACAATATACAGGTTGTTAACGGATAAAACCAATGTTTGAATCTGGGCAGTTGGTTTTAATATACGTTAATATTGCTCTATAAGTAACGGTGGTTCTTCTACGTCACCGACCCGAGACGTCTACCGTCTTGCTATTCGCTTTACATACCCAACGGAACATTTCGCGCCGAGATTTTTTAGAAGATCGATCGTAAACTATCCAATTATTATAAAAAGGTTTTTTCTTCGAAGAAGTGAAACTTTTTACTGGCTTGTCTTAAATGATTTATTAATAAAAATAATAACTTGGTGGCCGGAATTTTGCTCTAAAGATTCTACATCCGTATAAGACCCTAACCGAAATCGATACTCTACAATGGTATTTTTAAGCTTCTAAATCTTCATTCTAAACCTTATTACTTAGTAAATACAGTACATAATTATGTATATTATGTGAGACCAAATGATTTCATGGTATATCGTGTTATAGCGTACAAGGTTGCCCTTCACATGACATAACGATCGAAAGTCTAATAAAAAAGTAGACTAATAAATCTTTAACTTCAAAAAAATGGACTATAGTATTCATGCACGGCACATGATAACATTACCAATACATTTGAGTCCATGAATATTGTTTTATGTCTCTGCAGTCGATGCCTGATTGCCTGCTATATTTATATGATACACAATTCCACATGTTTGTGCTCATTGGGGGACTAAGATAACAGATGTATTGTCAATCGTCATTGATGCGTCAAGTGCAAGGGCATACGAGATCTGTTCTCGTATAAAAATACATTTATCGCAACGTCCTTCAATTTCAGATAGAATTGAAGTATATCGAATTATACCGATGCTGTTTTTGCACCGATTTGGAAGAACTGCTTTAAAGCGGTTCTAAGATAACGCTATTATTGTTTTTGTTAGGTGCAGAAAGTTCTCAGAAGTTAACTGAAAATCTTTTGTCAGATTTCAGAGTTTTATTTTGGGAACCGGATGAACTATAGTCTAGTTAACTGAATTTTGAATCAAATTAATTATCATCGGTTAAAGATCTTGCTTGATAATTGGCTAAAAGCAGAAATTTCATGTCATTAGGCACGAACTCAATGTATGCAAGTATTCTATCTGTTATACTTGGTTTTTACCGGATCACATTGATTGAATACTTACAATTATCGTGAGTTTCAATTTCGTGAAGGATGTTTGTGGTTGTCCGCAAAACAAGCTAAGAGATTTGGAACCTAATCAATTATAACAGCAATGGAAACTTATGAATACATTCAGCTTTTTGTTAATCCATAATTTTTCAAATAGGCACCATAGTAACATCATAGAGTTTAAAGAATCAGTTTCGTTCACAAGTTCGACTTTAAATCGTACATGAGAAAGTGACATTTCTTACTTGAATATTCACTTTTACTTGCAAACTTATTTACTGCCCAATATTTTAAAAGAAACAGCACGTATGTACATAAGTTAGCAAAAGTAAAATGGCGGTTTGCCCTTTCATTTTCTCCGCGTATCGTGAAAGGCTTGAGAAATTGATAAGTAATCTATAAGATTATAGTATGCGTAGAAAGATAATAAAAATATCACCTTGAACTACGTCAGAGAACTGTGATGAGCCATATTTTAGACGTGGTTAACGTTAATGAAATATGTGCTAGCCATTAAATGGAGCTAAATTAGGATACCGTTTCCAGATTATTTATTATTATATGTGATACAATCCAGACTGCATTATTTACGTGCTGGAAATCTCTATCTGGATATTATTTTATAGTTGCTGAGTAACGGGATTTTGCAGGGAATATTGACAGATACTGCGTCCCCAACGGCCAATAATGTTGTTGACTCCAACAATGTCGTAAAAGCTTTCAACATAACAATGAAGACAAATGGTATTGTTATATCTAAAGCTATCAGAGATGCAACATGATACACACATTATCCGAACATTTTATGACAGCAAGTGTGGATGAACGGCTTATGGCTGTTTTTACCAAACACCTCTAAACCATCTACTAACCAAGGGAGCACCTAACTAAATTAATCTCTTACCTGTATTGATCATCATCATCATCATATCAGCCATAGGACGTTCTCTGCTGAACATAGGCCTCACCCAATAACTTCTTTTTAAACCTTTAAACCATAAAGTTATCGAACTAGACGGTTATCGATTACGTACTTTTCACATCAACCTTGACATTGTATAATAATATTTGATTGGCTGTATAGATTGTTTCTGTGCCTCCCACGTTCCTTTTAATAATTTATTTATGAAAATCGATTATGACTAGAGGGTATTTGTAGAAGTAGAATTAATTTCGTTTATTTATTGGCTCTTGCTTTCATGATTGTTTTGCAACTGTTTTTATTGGTTAGGAAAAATGTTTAGTTTTTTCTCTCTTGGGGAATTACCGGCAGTATGAACAATAATTATGTACTTGTGCTCATATGTTGGCCTGTAATACATACAATCTGTTGCATCGTTGTAAAATAAACCTTGTGTGGAACGTCTCGTAAATAATTCAACGTTATTTATACATTGACATTTGTTACACTAGCGTTTTCCAGAAAACGTAAATGTTTACGGTGTTCGCGAGGCACGCCTACTGCGCACCTGCTCACGCGCATCCTAAAGTCCGTGCACGATTTTTCGAAATGGAATTAACATTCGGTGTTTCTAAATACGCAAATATTTATGATTTTTTAACATTTACCAGTGCAATTACGATATTTTATCAAATCCGCCATTTTTGTTGCAGAAATCTGTTACACTGATTAAAAGCTGATACATTTTGCTTTTCCCATATTTTCTCTTACAGATTTCTGGACCACCTGAAGATGTGTTAAGTTTTTTTTGTAGTTTTTTTCTAATTAATATGCAGAATATTCTTACAAATCAATACGATTGTTTTATTATTCTTGACTGCACAGTGCACATACTATGTAAATTATATATGCCTTTTTATTATAAAAACTACGTTACTCTATCGTCATTACGTAAATTATTACTTTGTATTCTTAAACAAATAAAGGACAATGCATTTCAATTGTATTATTATTAAAATCGAATACAATAATGTAACCTAGGTTTTCGAAGTCAAGTTAGGAACAAGTCTATTCGATGTTTCATATCTAATTAACAGTTATGGCGTTGTACAATTATGCCCGAATACTGAAAAGCTACTCAATTTCATTAAGTTGTAGTTAAATATCGCGCCATCTCTATCATTGTATGTACAAAGAATTTGTAGTGACAGAAGTCACAGAGAAAGAGACAAAGAGACAGAATACTTAAGCGCGTTGAGTGATGATTGGGTATTTCAGCGTCCAAAGCCAAAGGTTGATTATTGTACTTATGTTTCCTTTTCTTGTGGGTTCAAAAATTCTCTTGATTGTACTAGTAACACCTTAATACAGTTGTATAGGTTCGTATTGTACCTGAATAGTCACTTACTTCTTTGGCTAGGTTTGGATCCTACTTCCTGGCTAGAAATGAACCGAAAATCGCTTGCTCACCAAACCTTTCCTTAGATAAATAAGTTACCTTTCTATAAATATAACACTCTTTCAATTTATACCAGAATACTTGATAGGTAGCACGGTTCCCTAAGGAAACCGCCGTGGTCCTGAATAAAACAAACTTTCACAATAAAATTCAATGTCTGTCTGTCTGTCTGTCTGTCGATGTAGTATGGTTACCGTATAGTATACAATAATGTGTTTTTTTCCACCATAGCATTGACATTGAGTCGTATTCTTATTTCAAACCACTCTCACGCTTATTTGTCTGTGCAGTTTTAAATAGTTTTAAATAGGGTTTTGGTTATCTAATTTGACTCGCATTACCAACCTGCATTTAGCAAGCGTGGTGATTAATGCTCAAACCTTCTCCGTGTGAGAAGTGGCTTTGCTCAGCAGTGGGCATTAATAGGCTGTTGATGATGATGATGATAATGATGAATTTGACTCTTGTTGTGTTTTGAAAAAGTTCAAATAAGTACATTTACTTGCTTACTTCTTTTTTTATGGGATAAGCCGGTAATCGAGCAGACGGATCACCTGAGGGTAAGCAATCGGCGTCGCCCATGGACACCCGGAACACCAAAGGCGTTACAAATGCGTTACCGGTCTTTTGAGGATTAGGATTTGAGTATTGTTGGGATTCAGGGATTGGAAAGATTAGGCCTCTGGTAACCTAACTCACGCGACGAAACACAACGCAACCGTTGTTTCACATCGGTTTTCTATGAGACCGTGGTGTCACTCCGTTCCTTTGTTTCGTTCGTCGTTTTTTTCCATGTAATTGGCAATAAGATATTTCATGATGATAATTTGGAAACCCAAAAAATCTATTAACATCCAGGAGCCGAGTCTTCATAGGAGATAGATAAGCGATGAATTTTACAAAACTTATCCGCGGCATGTATTACGTGGATAATCTGGTGTAAGTACAATAGAAATGACGTCACCATAAATATTTATCTACAAAAATGTCTATATCTGAATCCACTGAATATGTTATGCTAACAGGATCATATTCTTAACTGATTTCAAAATCGAATAATATCTAAGAAATCTGCATTTATTACTAGTACTAACCTTGATCTTCGATTTTTCTTTCCATTCTGAGTAACCTTGACTTCTCCAAGGACTGGCAGTAAGCACGAACCGACAATCCAGGCTTCATAACATTCGCATTCCACTACGATATTGTGGAACTTGAAAGTAAAACTATTGAGCGATGGAAATATGTGTTAATATTAAAATTCTTCTCTGCATACGATAGGTAGGCTAACCAGAAGAATGAAGCTAACTTTTCGCTTTAAGTAATAGTTTTAACTCGTCGAGTACCGGTTTTGTAGACACAATTATAGAACAATAGGTTGCGGTCACCGGTGACCGCTTGGTGTTTGACAGTTTAAGGCCTTTTTTAATATGTCCATTGTACTGTAAATGACGTGTTTTTTGATGTATTTTCTATACAAAATGTGTCAAAATATGTTTCCATATAAGTAGCAGAAATTGAATTAAATACGGCGCCTAGCTTCACTGACAGATAGACAGATAGATTCGGCAATCCAATTTTTAACGTTTCAAAAGTGACGAATTAGGGAATTATATAAATGAATGATTTGATTTCGACAGTAGAACAGGCGCTTATGATACAAAAATAGTGAAAGTTTATACTTGTATGTCGTATATAGTTAAGTACTTTCCATAAACGCATTCCGTGTGCTTGATATTTTTTGTAAACATTAAATACAGATCGTTATCACTATTTATCTAAATATTTCATTACACAAAGATGCTAAGTGTAGTGAACTGCTCAAGGTTAAGAATATTACAGTAATTAATTAGCGAGGAGATGTAAATTATTTCAGCATAATAAATTAAAAGCTTCCTTTCTGAATATTAAATTTAGAGTGAGAAAACTAATTTTAGCTGGGTCTAGTAACAGATTAGGTGTTTAAAGGAATATTTTATGTCCTCTGTAGGGAAATATGTCTAGAATCTACTAGATGAAAGGAAATGATTTTACACACAAACTGTGCCTCCATAAATTCGTAGTTCAAAGTTCAAGTCACATAAAGCAGGTTTTATCCAATGTTTCGTATTTTGAGTGCTATTTTCTGTTTATTGAAGTAGTTTTTCACTGCAATTAAAACTGTATTGTAGTAAAAAAATAAAGATTTGTCCAGAAACCATTCATTGACTTGTAAAGTAGGTATGGTTACCAAATATTTGGCTTCGTTAAAAAGCATAAAATTAACTACAGCACTAGCTACAGGCTCTATACTTACTAAATTAAACTTTATTGTCATACCTGCATACTAAATTATTATTATTAATTTTTTTTATTCTTTTTTTTTAGGAACTATACTAAATTATTTGATTGACACATTTATCATTTTGTCATACGTTATGTATGAATAACTTTAATGAAATGTCTTTGTAACTAGCTTACATACTGGCGAGGTGTCACACACACTACAACACCCTCTCTGTCATTCCCAGACTCGACCAGAGAAACAACTGTCAGCGCTCGCATCAGGGCCTCCTCCTCCTGCTCCCATAGTGCCAAGGTCGGCTGATGGCCCCCGACCACCAGGCTGGAACGGCCAGCCCCGAAGACATGGCTCCAGCAGGTTCAACGTCCACAATCACAACCAGGAGCTCGTGAAATTACCACCTATCAAAGGTTAGTGGAAAATTGTACTTTATTTCCTTTCGTTATGGCTTAGAATTGTGAAGATATTGTATTTTTTAGTGATGTTCGATTATAATTATCACGACATCTCAATGTTACTGGAAGTATTCGTTTATATTATTTTATTTGAAGAAAACTTCAAGTTTTTTGTGATAGTCTTGAAGGAAAACCCAATTTGAATAGTTTTAAATGAAACGTGTAAAGACTTTGTTACCTTACTTATACTTTCGGTCATCAATGCGATACAATCGTTATTTTAAGTGGATACCATACAGCATTATTTCTTCTATAGACTTCTAATTATCGCGTTTAAGTTGCTTATCTTCGTCTATTTCTAAAGATAAAAATGGCTCTGAATAGCAACAGCAATAGAACTATAAATAATGGCGATGACTTGCCGTTTCATAAACGACTAATGGAGAGCTGAGTTGATTCAGTGCTATGATAGTCGTTATAAGCAATCAGTAGCTCGGAAAAGTTTAAGAGATTATACAAGAACCACTATCTACAAGCTGGGAAGCCTTGGTAGCATAAATAGTTTTTTTTTCTTCTAAACTTCACTTCAGAAACTTATAAGTGGCCACTGCTGACCAAAGGCCTCTTCTCACACGGAGAAGGTTTGAGCATTAATCACCACCCTTGCTCAATGCAGGTTGGCGATTTCAAACTTATAACAGAAATTATAACCCCAGGTTTCCTTACGCTGTTTTCCCTTCAACGTTTAAGTATATCATAAGAAAAATGGTTTTCTTCCCGGTTTGTCAGTGGTATCTAAATAATGTTACAACGCACATATAACTCGGAAAAAGTCACATTGGTACTCGCCGTTGGTGGTAGGTTTCGAACCCGCACCCTCATGCGCGAAAAGCGGGTTCTAAACTGATCCAATGTTTATTCATAAGGGCATGAGCTTATGTAACTTTGTATGGAACAATGTTACCTTACCATAATGATAAAGTAAACAAAAATCCGGTGCCACATATAAAAATATCACCAAAAAAAACGTAATTTTACAAGTATAAAGTAACGTTTGACTCTTCAGTAGAATTTGTAGACTTGATGCTGTTCTCAATCTAATTTTGGAAAGGTACATAATAGATGATGAACCTATTGTCAAACAAGGAAAAATTCCGAGATTTCTCGGCTGTTGAGAATTTTGAACGGAGGAAAACGTAATTATTCCTGATTCTCTCGTTCTTCAGTGAAGCTTTATTAATGGGATACACGGGAAAGGCTATGGAATCTAAACGGAGTTTCTTCTTCATGTTTCCTTACAAGAACAGTGGCTTTATTTGTGGCTATTAGTGGCTTTTATTGCCCGATGACTTCTAAAGTTCTAACACCGGCCACTGCTGGACAAAAGGCGTTTAAATACTAATTGAATCGAGTCAATGTGGGTATGAACTTCACATAAGTTTTGGTATAATTTTTCGAATGCCAATATGCTCTTGAAATTGTCTTTTTTACTCATTTGACTAGCATTATGAGTTCAGGAAGCTCTTTACCCAAAATAATCGACTTTCACATAACGAAGGATATTTTCTCAACAGATTATAACTAGCTTGAAGTTCAAAGACGCATGTGAGATGTACTAGTACATTATACTAATCTTCTTAACTACTTACAAAGCATTGCGTATGTCTTCGTTTACCCACGTAGCCTTGCCACTAAGCTGTCTTAGTACCTGTGTACTATTAATACTAGCTATCGAATAACGAGTATGAATATTGTTATATTTCTTATTATTATTAGTTCCGTGTATGTTTTGTAAGATATAGCTCTCTTAGATTCCTTTCAAGGGTACCTTAGATGCTATATTTGCTCAGTTTTATCTCAATTTAGTCTGAAATGTTTTGTAACAATGTTTCTCTTCTGACAATAATCTAAATTAACTCGTCGAGTACCGGTTTTGTAGACACAATTATAGAACAATAGGTTGCGGTCACCGGTGACCGCTTGGTGTTTGACAGTTTAATGCACGAAATTAAACCCTAAACAAGAATCGGACAATTTAAAAATTTCCCCATTTCACAAATCTACCAAACAACACTTTTAGTGTTGGTAAAATAGAAAAATATGAAAATATCACTAATAAAAGACAGCATCCTCTTTATTATGTAGGTGTATATGTATGTATGTATGTAAACCAATAAAGCATAGTTGCGCTACTTCCAACTGACCCAGACTGCAGTCACCTGTTCTCAGTTCATCTATATGTAAATTTAACTTTGAACCCAAGCACAGCTCCGGCCAACTAGTCCACATTAATCATTAATCCGCCATCAAATTTAAATTTGACACACCTTCCGTAAACTTTCTTTTGATATGACGTCCGAGTCCGAGGTCAGTGTATAACTTGAAAAACTAGACTTTATGATGATGCTCCTTGAAATTGGTATTATTCCATAATCATTATCATAACCATTGTGAATATACTTCCATCTCTCTGGACTCCTTCAAGCGAGCTTATATTCTTTTCTAACTCTGTGCTAGAACCCTTACTTTCTCTTAGTTAATATTAAATCTGAGGATTAAATCTTCATCAAGCAAGCTCAAGCTATCATTTTTCTTAAACAATATTTTAGGTTTTTGACCACTAGAACAGAAATCAAAATCTAGCAAGAAACGAATAAAATTCTCTTCACTTAATTAGTGCATTTTTGAACCCAAGCAAGCTCATTCAATAATTTTAACAAGCACAATTATAACATCGAAACATTTCGACATTTCAAAGTAGTAAATGAGGTATTTACGAAATTTCTCCAAGGTTAACCACGGCTGTCGTATGCACTCCAACTTTGGTAAATTATGTGCCGTGCCTTGAGTAATGTAACAATTTTTTGAGCGAACTTTTTCTGCATATCATCGTAATAAACACATCAACTGCCTGTTTCTTTGAAAAAGGCGAAATGCTTCCCTTCTTGCCTTTTTTCGAAGGGGACGTTCGTACCTCCCTTTTTGGCGTATTGCAGTGTATAGTCGTCCATTTTTCACCAGTCGTATTATAAGTCCCGTGTGTGATCGCGTGCTATAATAAACTAGATTTTTCATGCATCTCTCAGGGGCTTCTGGTTGTATATGAGATTATATGAACAAATTGAACTAACGGGAATCTCATCCTCAAGTCAAGGTTCTTAACACCACCGCTTAAACCGTCAACAGTTATGCACATAGTTAGTTATAGCATTCACAACAAGCCTGAAAAACGTATAACTTACCTATATTGACGTGACAACGTCTTAAATTAGGTTGCGGCTGGGAGTCACTTATGAAAAAGTGTAACGCTCGGTAACGTTACGATGAGTCACCGAACGAGAGAGAGGCCCGCCGAATGCCTTGCGTCTCTCTCCCACTCAACTATGATCGGTCTGCCGCGCGCGCAGCACTAGTTCATTCAATTCCTTGTTCCTATTGTGCAATTTAATTATATTCATATCAATAAATATTCTACCGAGAAAAAGACGTTGTCACGTAAAATCTTCGCCCGTAAAAACGACTTTACAGGCAACCATTTTTTTTTAAAACGTTATCAGAAAATTCCAACATTGGCTATAATATTCATTTAATATTTTATCCTTGCAACCCTTAGTCGAAGCACTTTTTGTTTTCGTGATAAGTACTTATTTTCACTTGGAAGGGTCCTGTCGGATGTCATTTTTCATGTACCTTCGCGGAGGGGAAATGAAAAAGAATGGGTTTTCATATCGCTTGGGGACCGAGAACCCACAAATGTAAAGAGTTCATAATTTGGTCGACGTCCTTATTTCAAGACGGATTTATGCGTTAAAATAATTCGATATTTGAATGTGTATTTTGATACTGGCTTGTGATGGCATTGTTTATTACTGGTAAAAAAGTTGAGGATTAGTAGAATTTAAAAGTAAAATAGGATTTAAATGCATGTATGATGTGTTTGTGATATAAACACGTACGATTTCTTTTTTTAATAACTTGAAGCGTTTTATACTCATCGGCTTAGCAGTTTTTATATAAAACAAATCTATCTTGAGTATTAATTTTAATTGATATAAAAATACTTGGTTCATAATTAACACTTACAAGATAATTTGTCACGGATTGCTCTGAAGTTTTCCGAGACCATCGGACATTTTCTCCTTCATAAGAAAATAATTACACTCGTCACTCATCGTCTACAACTACATGAAACAAAATTAATTGCAGTGTCCAGTTATAAAATTAACACAAGTGCTCTATTATTTTCTAATTACTGTATTTAATTTTTTCTCAACTTGTGGACGTTTAACATGGGATTGTTTGTCTCTAAGGTCTATTTTTCTGTGACAGGTGGATGGCTAGTGTCAACTTGTGTGTACCGCTATCTAATGATTCAGGTTGTCCTTAGTAATTGAGTTGGGTAGGGCTCTGCGTCACCTGGACGTTAAATCTTTTGTGTGGTAAACATATTATGACGTCATAAGCTTATAAAGAAGTATGTAGCTAACTTTAATGGAATGCCAGTAGCGAAATATCTGTTACAGTGACAAAGAGTAACGTGGGTTGAGAGAATAATGGCTTTCAACCTGTGAAAGGGCTTTAAGATTTTAACTAATGCGTGAGCCTTTTGTTCTTGAATTATAACAACGACTTTCCTTTTGTTAGAGTAAAAATCAGAAGGAAATTTGCAAGTACCAAAAAGATAAATGGTCTCAGAATGGTTTAGTAAGCTAGAGTTGCTAATGATTGAAATAAAACATTCAATAAACCTTTATTTTGCATCGATCACCTCAGAGCTTAATAATATCAGCTCACATAGATCCAGAGCACAAATGATGCGATTATTTAGCAACTACACCCTACAATAACATACCAAGATGAACTGGTATCGCAACAAAAAACGCAGAAACGTCTCACGTTCAGATACTACAAAGCAATTTAGTACAGCAACGTCTAGATGCTATCATTGTTTATTTTTTCCAAGGCAAATGACAATAATCGGTCTGAATCGTCATCGCTTAGAACAACGCAGATAG